TTAGCCAGCTCATAGAACTCTAAATGGCTGCTTTACACAATGTTGCTCTACTTAAAAGGTCAGCCAGTTAAACTTTACACATTGAAAAAGGTAATTAGACCCATGAAATCCAAAGATGTTTTAATGGCTAAAAATCTAAATAAAAAATATCTACCACATGTTACAATAAACTAATTGGTAACTGTAAACGGTGGTGTGACTCGTGTTGTTGTGATGTTCATTCAGTTACCAGACACTGAAAATAATGTTTAAAAAAAAAAAAGGATTACATTTTCCGTTGCCATTGTGATGGCATTTTGATTTCACAAGCGGCAGAAGCATCTTTTAGTTCAAATTTCTTTGTAATTCTAACGAATGTCAGCACTGCTTAATAGTTTTAATTCTGGCTGCTTTGACGCGTACATCAGATTGTTTTCAACTTTTAAGTCTTGGCATCAAAAGACAAACTTGAAACATTTCCTAATTTTTTTTCCTCCAGATTTTAGCTTATTGGCTTGAGGAAAGCCTGTAATGAGAATCAAGGCTTTCACAACCTAGCAATAAATGGAGAGTGAAGCCGTTCGTTTGCCAAGTAAATGCTTGTTTTTAGAGTTTTTGCATTTAAAAAGAAGCACGAGGAAGAGCTATGGAGAGTTTGGATGTTTTTCAAGTTGCTCTCTTCATTTTCTTATTTCAATTTATGTGCATCCTCAAGGGGGGCGTGAAATGGCATCCACATTTTATTAGATTGTATTTCTGTTACGTATTATTATTTGATTTTTCATTTGATTTTTAAAAACACAATATCAGTTGCAATATGAAGCATATTTTCTTCAACACTCTGGAAAAAATTTGAGAACATAAATCTCACAAGGAGAAAATCACACTGAATTACATTGTTATGCGTCTGGTATGACTTGATCCTCCATGTCAAGGGAGCAGAATTGTTTCACCTCCACAGTGTTATAAGTTTCCTCATATATTCACTGCCACTACTTATCTAGCTGTGTGGATCTTGCATTTCTTTGCGTTTGTGTGTGTGCGTGTGTGAGTGTGAGTGAGCTGTTTACAGATTTACAACATGGATCGGTTTGAAAAATTGACTGCTGTGTCAAGTTGATGCTGGACCCAGGATGCTTCTCTCTCAGGATTCCGTGTGAACACTGCGGTGAATTACAAAACAGTCCTTTTTTTAAGCTTGTTGCCCCATTTAAATCAGTCTATTGTCTTTGTTGTCTGTATTATTTACAATAATTCGCTATCTCTTACTGTGGAAGCTAGAAAGCTAGCAGACACAGTGACTTTTATCTATTAATGCTTGGCTTAGAATCGCATCATCTTTTTTTAAACATCTGGGGATGTGAACTAAAGAGACAACTCCTGAGATCAAGCAGACAAAGTTAATCAGACGAAAACCAGAAGACATGTACTGAGATTTGAAGAATATTTTCCCAAGTCCTGCACCTTTTTTCTCCACCCCCTTTTCACACCTCTCCCTGAAGCAAACCTGTGAGTTTCCCCCTGGACTTCAATTGTCAGCTTGAGAGAAGAAATATGTGGCGGTGGGGTGAGCGGGAGGGAGATAAAGAGAGGGAGAGAAGAGGAGAGAGAACAGGTGACAGGCTCTGACAAAAGGACGAACGCTCTGTTAGGTACAGCGCACGGTAACAGGGCCATGGGGAGAGCACAAAACAATATCCTTACAGAAGAAAAATAGAAAAATAAAAGATGGGGCAACATTGACGTCTGTTGTAAATGTTTGTCGACAAATGAGTTATAGCACCACACAGAAGGAACTACTGAAAGAAGGAGACAAAGGGTCATTGTTGCAGGAAGCTGCATGTGTGTTGTTTTTGTTGTCTTTTCTCCTGCGTTCATTAAATCATGAAAGTCTAGAACATGTATTATTTGAAAATGAAAACGAAGATTAGGTACTAGGCATGATTACGCTTTTGTTTGTCATCCGAATACAAAAACCTGTTTCAATTGTGGGTTTCCTCACCTGAAAATGTGCAGTTTGTTGTGCGTTTTTGTGCAGAAAATCAAACTACTATCACAGCTTCATAGCAGTCGAAAAACCTAAGACATAATTCTTTTTGGTAATTTTTCCTGCTGTTCCATCCCAACCAGCACCATGAAAAGCTTTGAGAGACGGTTTCTTGCTTCAGAATCATCATGGAGAGGCCTTTGAAATCCTTATATAATCATCTGATTAATTTGTTGAACACTGTTTCTGTACTCCCAATTTTAGTTTTTTTTCATTTTTAAGTTAACTTCACACGTTTTGATCACAAAGTCTTGTCAGGCACAACAGATTTTTGTGCAGCCAAAAGCAGTATTTGAAAGACAAATTTATGCAGTAAACCATGATATTTGGTCAATTTCTCATTTATTCGAAACAGCTAACATCACATATCTTAGTTTTTATTTTTCCATCTCTTTCAACAAAGGGAAAAAGAGCAAATACTGTTGTTGTTGTGTTTCTTTTTTCTTTTTTTGCCTCTGAGAAGTCATGGGATTGAGAATGTTTCTTTGAATTAGCAGGAATCACTAGATGCCCTCTTTTCATGCTGCAAAGATTTTTATACAAGCAGAGAACAAGAGACGACTTTAGAAACATGTCTTTTTTGGGAGTACAACATACAGTATCTTTGGGGCAATTAAATGGAAAGGGAAGACGATACATTTGTATGACCAAGCAGAAATTTGCAATACAGGGATGTAGGAAAATACATTTGAACAAAAAGCAACTTTCCATCACAGTCTTATCTACAAACCTCTATAGCATGTTACATTAAAAATATATTTGAACTACATTATTCGTCTGCTCAAATTAAAGGAAAATTTTGTACCTTTTATTTTTACTGGGGAATGTTTAAATAGAGTAGTGGGGGGAATGTATTTAGGTCAAATACACTTTGTAAATCAGGGTTTGTCGTAAATAAATGAGGAGGAATGATGACATTCTATTGGGATGTACTTTGGCAGAATGGAGTTTTAATATCAGAGGTATATTTTATGATTATCAACTAAAGAATTAATAGTTCAAAGCTTTTGTAAAATGAAAACCTTTCCAACTCCTAGCCACATGTTTGATACATTAACAACCTTTGTGCTGGTTTCTGAAGAAGTCTTTTCTGCTGTTTCCATATAAGTGCACATGACTTGTATTTAATCAAACAACCTGGTCATTTGAATTATTTGATGGGCAGTGTTGTCACATTGCAGACATGTATCTTTTTAGATAGATGAAATAAAAATACTTTTTTTTATCTTTCTATGTCTCAAAGGGACTGATACATTTATGATCAGTAATAAAATAACTGTTTTGTGTTTTTGAAATAGAAAGCATGCTGGCAGCATGATTTAACTGCAAGCCAGAGAGCCAAAAATTGGTCTCCAAAGATCACAGAAAAACAAATTGATGTTTAAAAGATTATTTCACGCCGCTGAATCATTTCATGGTTACCTGCTGATTTTCAGAGAAGAGTCGTGCCCTTTGACTGAACAAAACACCAGATTATCTGAACAGGAATTTCCTCCTGTGACCTGTTCTGAAACAGCAGTTCGTAATATGGCACCGCTAAGTGCATCCCTGTTGAGTTTTATGACACGGAAGACTTCCAAGTCGGCTTAGAAATTGCATTATCAGACTGCAGCATATTAAGCTAAGCATAGCCTCCCTCCAACAAAGAGATGGGGATTTTGTTGATGCCCTTCTTACCCCAGAGGACTAGTTCAGAGTTTTCATATCAGTTACCACACAGCCCTGAAACAAGCTCAGCTTCTGCACCCTATTCTGGTGTCTAAATCCTCCGACCGCACTTTAGCAGGGATGACACACGCATTGCTAAGACACAAGACTGTCTCTGAGCCCACACATCTATGTCCTAGTTCGCTTTTGTCACATCAGCTCAGACTGTGAGAGTCGTGCCTTTATCGCCGTCGTCATTGAAAAATCAAAGAGGTCAATCCTGCACCTACTCGGTTGCTCCCTTTTGGATTAGTCGTCCCCTGTCACTTTTTCCATTTCAATCGAAATGTGTTCCGTGTGCCTCATTGGAAACGTTTAAAGTCTCTCTAACAGGGCAGCGTTACTGCACAGTCCCTCGGCCTGCAAGTATGTCTTACCTCTCAGTGGAGTAAGAGTGGCAGGGTCCCTCTATCTCAGCCTCCCTCAAAGAGCCACATTCTAATGTTGCTATCCCTTTGCTCACGTCTTTTCAGGCAGCATTGTGGGACCGCTGTGCACTCTTCCTCCACCTCCCCCTTTACAACCACAGTGAGGGGAGGATTATTGCTGCTGCTGCTGCTGCCGTCTGCTGCTCCCCCACTGCACCATCTCACTTGCAAGAGAATCAGAAACTCCCGTCGTGATATGATGAACTGCTGTGGAATTATATAGTTTGGGAGAAGTGACTTAGTAATAGCATCCAGTTTCACAAGTTAGGCAACAGACACAGTTTGGGCTTCGTCCTTAGGCTAAGGTAATATTTTTGTTTTTACAATGGCGACCATGTAATTGAGTAAAGCTAAACTCTCAGCAGTGACTTCCATGTGGAAAAGCTGCTACCTAGAGGCTCTTTTGAGCCACAGAAAAGACGAGGTTGAAATGGGATTCAGGGATTTGCCATCATTCCACTTGTCATTTGATTGTCCTATAAATGCTTTTTAGAAAGCCTTTATCTCTCAAAGCAGAAAACTCACTGGTTTCCTCCAACCTGTAACATAAAGGTAATACAAATATATCCTTATGACTGTATGGTGGAGATAATTTAGCTTATATTTGTGCAAACCTTGTACGTACACAACAGTGATTTATGTTGGACTTTGAAAAGCCCTTACAGCTGGAACTCTGAAGCGATTAGACTGGTGTGTCAAGGTTTCTCTGGCACTGTCCATCACTTCAGTTTAAAAGGATGGTGTGGGAGCCAAAGATCCTTCTGCGTCTTTAACAGGCTTTCCTAAAACAGACCTTGAAAAAATGAATTTAGTCACGCTTCTCCTCTCTCCTCTGCCAGTTTCCCCTCCAATGCAGGTGGGAGTATCTAGAACAAAGTTCTTCGATCCTTCAATGAGATTTGACGATTACTCTTCGGACTTTTTAAAACGAGCCTGCTGTGTCCTTTGGGTGGACTTCTGTCTTTTTGTCTTTTTTCCCCCCTTACTTTTAACTATGCTAAGGCTGACTGACTTGTATGCTTCCCCGCTGTATCCTTTTGGAAATAACGATTGTGCTGCATGCAGATAAAGCCTCAATACTTTTAACATTTTAAAGATGATCGAGTCACATCTGTGTTGTGAGTTATGCTTAGGTGGAGAAAACATTGTGATGTCGGCATCTACGTGTTTACTGTAGGGGTCATATCAATGTGACCGTTTCCTGGTGAGCTTCTGTCTAGAGACAAACCTATTGGCTATGAAATGACATTTGTTAGCAGACAGGAGACCTCCCACAGGTTTTCACATGCTTGGTATTGATCACAGCAACTATGACCTTGAATTTAACACCCTCTAAGTCCAGTTGGCTGACACCTGTGCTGTAACATAAAGCTTTACTGTTTGCTGCTTTGCATCACAGATGAATCACAATTTGCCAACAATAATGAAACGTCACGTCTATGCCAGCATAAGGCCAGTTTTATTAGATTTGAATTTCATATCCTTTTTTCTGCTCTCGGTATTTAAGTTATGCTTGTAGTCAGGGTGTGAAAATTACAGTTTGTACATGTTGAATGTTATGATGGAGAACCAGAAAATCTTTTTTTTCCCCATTTCAGCCCAGGAGCAGAACTTTGGGGATCAGTTCCTTCATGTGTTCCTCCAAGACGGAAGCCCTGTTGCTAAACTTGGTTGTGGAGGCAGCCGGGTTTTGAATGCAGCCTCCGGCCAAATCATCAACGTTAACAGATGGACGCCAGTCACAGTCCGGTACGATAAGCCTCTCAAGTCTGCTCCATGATGTTCAACTTTTAGAGTTATTGTGGTATTTCTTATTTAATTGTGTTTGTTATTGAATTAGTTGGATTAGTTGATTGGATTAACAACTGAATGATGCACCATTCCAGTTCATCTTTCCACCATAAGAATTAAAAAATGAAATTGTTTTCATTATAAAAAGAAAGGTACTACCTTGGTAAGTGTTTATTAATGCTTATTAAGTCTTCACAAACTGCTAACTGCTTTGAATAAGCTATAGATCATGTACTCATGGAACATAAGGATATGTTATAGTAGATCATTTTTCTTAGAGAACACATGGTCACAATGACATTTCTGTCTCATTTTCCAAAATGAATGATTTTATTTGGCTTTAGAATTTCTCTGAAACATTTTTAGAGGGTTAGCTTTCACACATCACTCAAGTATAAAGCACCAAAGAACAAGCATGGCTTGTGTTTTTCTAACTGGAAACTTTAGTGAGGAAAGGGGACATTTTGCTTTGCAAATCTGTTGCTGAATTATAAACCATTGTCATTTTCATATTAATGTGTCCAAGTAACACATGAAATACAACTGAAAAATGGTTTCTCCAGAGGAAACCTTTAGTCTGAATGCATAGCATGATGTGGGAACGCAGAGCAAAAAACCCAGTGAGTGAATGCTTTCATGTGCACAATGCTGGAGTTCAGCATTGTTAGCTTTGTTAGGAAACAATGAAGCTATCTAAAGAAAACTGCTTCTCTCTTGTCACCACAAAACGTGGCTGTTTTAGACATCTCCTATTCTTATTTCATAAAACACAAGAAAAGTACTACAGCAACACTTTCGGATTCGGATCATGAAAAATCACTTGGCTCACGCACGTTTGGCAAGATTTAGAACAAAATGTTGAATTTGATCCACATTCATTTGCACGACTTTCTTGTCTCATCCAAATAGCTCTGACAAACAATGCTTTTCCGTACACGGCTGATCATGAGCCTCCATAGTGCACACACAGGATAAAAGCACATCACTGTGACGCTGAACAAACCAGTGGGAGAAATCAGAGAGGACCTGCTGCAGAGCTCTCTGCCTCCATTTATTCTTGATCAGTTCAGCAGTTTGATTCATATGCAAATGGGTGTATGACATCACCAAGTTATGTTTGAGCACTATCTACTTTCCCTGGATGATGAATGGCAGCTCTGAATAAAGCCACCTTAATCGCAGTTGCAAGCATCCACGCAGTGCCGGGCAGTGGTTGTATTGAGCCACATATAATCTGAGCTCCTATAATCAAGCAGAACACCAGAAAGGGAAAACATTTGCCTTTTCATCTCTTACGTATACTGTTAAACCGCTTGCTTGTGCTATACACAAAGCGGACTGTTGGTTGTGCTAATGCAGCACTGTTTACATGGAGAGATGTTACACTTTTCTCTGCAATGCTCGTTCGGTATTCTAAAGGGAAAAAGTGGCACTTCATTTTTTATGTATATCCATGCTGGGCTTTTACGCTCTACAGTTTTGATAATTACATCAGCGCTGCATCCTGAAGAGGCAGTTTAAATGACATTAACCGCGACTCCTTTGCTCTTGTGTATTCAAGTTATATTATTATCCCTGCAGCATGAATCCAAGCCTAAATTCAACATGGAACCATATGAATGAAAGCGCTGACACACTTTTCAGAGCTATAAAGAAACTCTGTTCAACAGCCTCCCACCCCTACATACAGCCACCAAATAATGGCATAACAAACAATGCAAATATTTCTCCCCGAAGGAGCATGAATTAATGTTTACTCTCATTTCAGAATTAGTATGAAAGCAGTCTGCAGTTCATAAAAATAACTGAGATGTTAATTTAAATGCAGGTTTCTGAGTATAATAGTGACGCTGCCCTGCAAAACAGTGTGTAAAAGACAAATAGGCGGATTTTGATAGGAGGAGCAAAAATTATGAACAAACTTTTGCATAGTATTAAGTATTTTTTAACCTTTTAGCAATCATGGGTTGTTCTGCAACACTCCAACACAGACTAAAGTTGGCAAGTAAGAAAGGGCGCTGCTCAAGTGCCCTGTGCTGTCATATCAATTCACAGCGTGGAGTGTGCATGGGGGGGAGGCTGTGTCATTTTTCATTTGAGGAGGACATGTTTGCTGTTGGCTCGCTTTTTGATGTCGGGAAGTTTTCCTTCGGGGATGTTTGGGGCAATACTGCTACGATCACATTTCCAGAGTGGCGGATTCCAAATGCTCCCCTGGTCATTTGTGAGCCCGCAACCTTTATTGGTTGCACTGTTGTGCTTGATATTCAATTTTGGAGTAGCTTCTGTTCATATATGAACAGACTGAATGAGAAATCCATGAGACTGACACAAAGCATTCTGATGTATCACACATTTCTTTCCTTGCCACATGAGTCTTTGTTCAATTCACCCTCTAACGTTTTCTAAAGCTTGGGTTAAGATTTTAGAGATCAGTTTCAATTTTCGGTTTTAATGAATTGTTCAACTGTCTTTAGTACCTTATTCACATTTATCCTCAGGTAGAGATTATGGGAGAATCTTGTGCTATTGCTGCAGTAAATATTCAGCTTCAACAAAAGAAGTGGATGGATATCTGGATATCATATCTGCGTTTTCATGAAGTATCATCAAAATAAAGATATATTTAAATCTGTTTGTATGATTTTTGTTGGGAAAGTGGCAGTGTTGTACTTTATGTATTAAAAAGCAGATTTCTTACATGAAGATAGATAGATAGATAGATAGATAGATAGATAGATAGATAGATAGATCTAACATTTTCTGTCCTCTTCGAGGACACTACACCATTTTCACAGAGTGAGCCAGCGATCAATCAACCAAATCTATGACTAATGGTTGATTGTTGAAACAAGTAAACAAGTATATATATATATAACCAGAAAATTCATATTACCTTTTCGTTAAACCCTCTCGAAATCTTTCATGAAGTTTTAAACATCTGTTGTTACAAACTGTTTGAACTTTCAGCAGTTCTGCCTCCTCCTCAGATCCATATAGTAATTTATTACACTTAAGGCTTTAAAATATTAAAAACTCATGACTAATGTTAAAGATGGTTTTGTTAAATCGGTAATCAAGAGCAAATGCTTGAACTTTTTATGAAATCGCCTCACGGTTATCCACTGATTCTAATTTCACTGACCATTGAAAAGTTTAGTACAAATGCTCATGTAGGTATGAAGTATCACTAAGCAACAGCATCTGTAAGAGGAAAAAAAAAACAGACATGTGATGTGACACACGGAAAAGACATTTTTAGCACATCTTAAGCAACTGACTTCTTTGATTTAAAGGCAAAGAATCTCAGTCTTCTGAGTTCAAATGCCGTCTGATCCAGTTCAAAAACTGATCCAATAACATGCTTTCCAATAAAACTTTAGAGGGCTCTTTTGCACTTTTGAATATGAGATGTGGACTGTGAGTTTGGGGACATATCCATATGGGGACAGTCAACTCCAACTTAAAATAACAACTGACATAGAAAGTCTTTATCTAAAAATCGGGTAAATCTACAAAATGATATAACAATTAGATAGCTACTGATTACCTTTTCTCCCTAACTACACTAACAATGCACGGAGTCCATCTTTAGCACTCTCCCTCTGGGTTTTAATTGCTGGAAGATTAATAGTGAGACAGTTATTTGAATAAGCCACCGAGCCATATGTGCACTTTAGAGGGGAGATCTTAATTTTTTTTTTTTATCATTTACAATTCTGATCCAGTTATCATCAAAGCATATTCATCAACTGCACTACAGTGTTATATTGACACGTTGAAGGTGCAGTGAGGAGGTGACAGCCACGCTGCCTGCTCACTTGGAGTTTCTTTTGTGTAGCCCTACCGTGCCAAGTGCCTTGCTGTGTGCTGTCTAATTGTATTCCCGGAGATATAATGATAGAACACAGGCTGCCCAAATTAATTGAGGCTTGCCAGTCACAGCACAAATTATGCAGCAAATGCTGCAGTGCTGCGTGTGAGAAAGTCACTGCACCAGAGCCAGAGCAGGCATTACAGCAACTGCACAGGTGGAGATGATGGTCTGATAGAGGAAAGAGCCAGAAAACAAATCCCTTCTGATTTGATATGACATTTCATGAGTATTGACCATATGGGGTTTTATTGTCTGTCTTTCCAGTTATATCTGATGGAGCCCTGCAACCTGTTGTTCTAGTATCAATATCACAGTAACAGGTGGTACTGGTTTTCTCTCTATATTCATCACACACAGGCCAGTTTCTCTGTCTGCCCATAGATACTGCAGCAACTCTACATAGCAGTCTGTGTTTACAGAACTAATAGTCTCTTGACTCTAAGTTACTAAATGACTTTCAAATTATGTGTTAGACATAATCTCTGTGTGTATGTGCGCTTGAGGGGGGTTGAAATATGGTCAGAAGAATACACCTTTTCTTTTTTTCATTTTTTTTTACATGTTACCTATCATACAGTGAAAATTGTAACAAGGGGAAGTGCTGGGGTGCATGATGTTTTACTGCCATCTGTTGCCAATACATTCAGATGTTTTATGCAGCAGTAATGTTTCAGTGATGATCCTCATTCAAGCACGTTCAAACGGGAATGTAAGGACAAACACCGACTACAGGTTGAACAAATACCTGTGTGTGAAGGTGCAGGGGTGAAGTGTTTGCAAAGTTCCTTAACAATGCAGGGTGATATTTCTCTGGTGATCATCGAGAAAGTTGTTGTCTTCCGATTGCCCTGAATTAGTCAGACACAAGACACGGTCTAAATGTGGATTTTTGAGATGACAAATCACTTAAGATTTGAGCATTAGCCAGATGAACAAATGCATAAATGATGATGGAATAAGTGAAACCAAACACTGCCATATTGTGGCTTTGTGTGTTTGGAGAAAATTAAATATTTATGCATCTATGTTTATTTACCTCAAAGTGGGACTTCACTTTTGTTGGTCCTGTGAGACTCAGTGGTGAATATAGCACAGGGAGCCCAATAATGATGACATATTATTGCATCTGTCTGTACATCAAATGAACCACAGCTTGACAAACCACAGTGTTCTGCTTTATTCATGTGTTTTTCATGGGGTTTTGTTTTTGTATGGAGCTGGGAGGCCACTCAACCACGTAAAGTTGTATAGTCATCTTTTCTTAACAGAAAGGCCAGTGTAAATTAGCTGGGTGGAGCGTTCAATGCGCTCACGAGAGCTCATCAAATAACATCATCCTGTTTGCTTAGTGAGCATGTTCTTTGTGTCTCAGAGGGGCAGTTTTTGCTGCATTAACAGCCCAAATAAATAGCCACTGTACAAAGGACCAAAATATGCATCAAACGCCTTCAGCAACAGACAGTTTTGCAATAACTTTGAGACATTTCTTACCTCAGCATAGCGTGCTGCACATAGACAGGTATTGTCATATTGGACCAATTGTGTCTTTTGATCTGGATCTTGTTATATTCTTTTGTTTTGAAAAATAAACAGAGGGAGGAATGTTGTGATCTGGAATCCCTCACTAATCAGGTACCGTTACGCTAATGTATGAAAAATGTCCCCAGAAACGCACTAGGCACCCTGAGGACAGCAGCGGATGTCGTCTCTGGACATTAGGTTGCCTCTCACATTTTCAATCTTGAATGTGTGATTGTGTGTGAAAGTGTTTGTGTTTGTGTGAGTGTGCGAATAGGCTCTTGTGATTTCCGTACCTGTAATTAGTCCTACTTGAAGTTGTGTGCGTGGGATTGCCTTAGGGAAGCGTTCTGGAAGGCTGTTTCAAATTAGCAGGAGGACGATTGCCCTCATTGTTTCCATCTGGCTATTAAAGCAGACATTTGAGAGTTTTTCCGCATCTACATGGCTACAATAGCAAAGACTGGTTGAATAAATTTTGCAAGAATGTGTTGTGTGGTTTGAATATTGAATAAACCTTGGTAGCAAAGGGCATAGTGCAGAGGGCACATCCTTTTACATAACGTAAGCTGGCTTTGATTGTATAGAGTCTGCATAAAAACAATGATGAAGTGGTGAGAGGGAATCACTTGACTTTGCCGGAGCTGGAATATGACACAAGTAGACCAGCTACTTAACACCATGGCTACAACATTAATGAGAAGTAGAATTGTGTATATCCCTAGAGAGACATGGAGGGTCAAATGATAAAATTGTCGTCCTTCTCATTAGGGTTATAATGTATATCTAGTTTGTGCCCTCATTTTTATCATTAATTAATCCTGAGTGACATAATGAGCACTTACACCATGATCATATTTTATTTGTGTGTGTGTGTGTGTGTGTGTGTGTGTGTGTGTGTGTGTGTGTGGCTGATTATTTTTTCTTATTATTGCTATTATTACTACTGTTATTGTTACTGCTGTTTTATTTGGCATGCTAATGTATGTCATTAAATATAGCTTGATCGTGTAAATTAAACTGGTAATGACTACTTATCTCAGCCCCTGGTTTATCTTCGGTGACTATAGCAACGGTATTGCATTATTATGTAAATTTTGCATTTACTGAGGAACAGGACTTAGAGAATTTTGCTGCAGCAGTGAGCAAAAAAACTATTTCTGGACTTTTTATTTGAATCTAACAGTGGAAAACATTCTCTGTTTTTGTTGTCTCTCCTGGGTTTTGGCTGATAGCAAGAAAAATGCACCATTGCTTCCAACCAATCTACCATTGCACAGAAATTCTCATAAAACAGTGTGTAATGTATACTGCATCAGTTTATGGTATATTCTCAATGCTCACATTAGCATCTCCATTATTATGACTGCTCTGTCTTACCACCAGAATATTTTTCATGCTTCACTGGGTTTATTGTGAGCATCAGATATTGTGTAGGGTGGCCTTTCTTACTAACCCCGCTCTCTCTGTCTTCTCTCTCTGCAGATACAATTTGCCTGTCGGCAAACAAGGAGGGTCATGTATGATTGAAATAGGTGCAGATAATGGCACAGCTCAGCATCTTGAGGAGTTCATGTCACATTCCGTGTCAGAGGTATCATGACCTGCCTGCAGTCAAATCAACCCTTTGTCCATCCATTATCTTAAATGTTCAGTTACAGCATATAATAATGCCCTTGGTCTCCTTTTTTTTTCTACTGTTAGTTTCTTTAGAATTTGTAAATTATAGTATATGGTAGGTTGCCTTGTTTAATTTCCACACCATTAAAAAAATTATATATATATATATCAAACCAGTTAAACAGTGATATGTTCAACTCACCTGTATTTTTGCCCCTATATACTTAAATAGTAGCTTGTAATTTAACTTTTTCTAGTTTTAGGTGAAATGGAGGTGAAACCAAGTCATCCCTGCCTGAATTGTTTTACCTTTGTTTTTGATGATCATTAGGGAAGAGGCAAAAAGGCAGTCTTGATTTCAGGGAGTAACCTGGGAATTTGTGTTGGCACATATTTGATTAGACAGATGATGCATCCAGGAGAGAGCAGAGCAGCTGAGACAACGCTGCGGTGTTGTGTTTTCCTGAGCCTTCTGCGTTACCATCACTGCTGTGTCAACAGAGTGGACCCCCTCAAATGAGAGAAATAACTCATTGAGAGAATTCATGACAACGTTAACCACGCACTTTCAAAACCAGTCCAGTGCGAGCAATTACTTTAGTGATAAAAAAAACAAGAGCTCCCATTAAAAGTGTGCGCACTTCTCTTACAGATATTCACCATGGATGATCATATTTGACCAGCTTGAGAGGAAAATTGAGATAGTTTTGACTTAACTTTGAGAGCTGGATAGTTATTTAGATTTATGGTGCCTATATTTGTTATAAAATTAATAGTTTCCGTTTTTCACGTTGAAAGATTGAGAGAAGGGTTCAACCTTCCCACTGGCTCAGCATGCCCCCTCCCTCACTGCGATTTATGGTATTCTAATTTGAAATGCCATGCTGTTTTTTATGTCCCCCTATGTTAATTAATTACAGAAGCATTATCTATGCTACAGCTAGCACGTTGACTGCCATATAACCTGTGCCAGCTGGTATTGCCACACTGTAGAAGTGAATAAAAAAACTTTGGTAAACATTCCCAACAAGTAATTATAAATTTAAAATTGCTGGAATTTTGTAGTTAGTATAATGTGTGCAAAATAGAAGAAAAAAAGTTTTTCCAGTGTTCCAAAGCTGTCAGCAGTCTAGAAAATGTCCATTGCATTTCTGTGACTGTTAAAATGCTAATCTGTCATTTCATTTTATACTTCATCCACTAATGGGATGGTAGTTGTTAACTATATCCACCAAATGTCCAGTTAAACATATACATATTTAAATCAGAATTAAGTCAATAACCAAACAAATTATCTAGGTGTTAGGTTTTCACGCAACTTTAGTTAAACCAAACAGTTTTCGTGTATTTAATGTCCAGTTTTGGTCAGACTTTATTTTTGTAGTCTTTTTTATGTCTTTAGTGTAATGTAAGGACACTCACCGTGAACAAAAAGAGGAATCAAGTGTAAGACTGAGCCTTAACTTTCAGCCTTCAAAACATCATGAGGTGTCTCTAACTGCCCAATCATTCCCTCACTGTCCTTTTGCATAATACATTTTTCTAAGAATCAGAATGTCCACATTCTTCACTGACAACGTCTGTGTCATCATAGACAATGAGAACATTGTGTTATGATTGAGGACATAATGATAAAACGGTTTTCCTAAATGTTTCAGAATATTTCCAAGTGAAAAATGTACAGTATGCTGACATGAAAACCTGAAATGTCTGAATGTATATAGTAACCAAGGCTGCAGCATTATTGGAGCTCCTTCCATCCAGTATCTGCGATGATACTTTTTAGAAGAAAGAAGAGTTTTACAGTAGAAGCTTATTTTTTAATGTGGAGCTTCTGAATGTGAAGTTATTTTTTTGTTTTCTTATTCAACCTGCATGAGCATAAGAAAAATATCTAGTCATATTACATCGATATAGAAGCCATGCAGACAAGTGCTGCCTTGAAATAAAATTCAAAATATGAGCATACAGCTCTTGTGAACTCTGTGCTGTGGGTCCACTTACAATATCATGAATATTACATAAGCGAGCCTTTCAAATGGACTCCCCTCATAAATGTGGTAAACATGCTTAAAGGAGCAATAAATTCATTCAGATTCAGCCCAGCATCATCATGCATATCCACTGGCTCATCTCCGATAGTATGACATACAGATATAACTTAGTTCTTTATAAAGGTACCCAGACTTATTTTCATTTGACACCTAAACTTTGTAAACAATTTCTCAGAGCCCTTAACAACCTGTGATGTACCTGTATATCCTACCATACATGTTTTTTTTACATGCTTTCTAAATTATTTGTTATGGAACTAAAAGCTTGCATTAAGCCAACATCCATCAACATGATTATTTGGTCTCAACAGTCACCTTTCCATCCCTACCAGTAAAAAGTCTGGAAGGACTTCAAACACATTTGAATATGGACATGACTGCTTGGACTAGTTATAATTACACTGAAAATTATACCATACCTTCTATTCACATAAGCTTTGAAAACATGCAAGCTTTTGCCTTTTTTTGCCAGCTGCAGATTTGGAATTGTAGAAAATGAAAAAAAAACAAAAAAATGTTAGTTGTATTTACTCATTAACAGAAATGGAGCTATCAATATTTCTCTGTATTATCAATCAAGGATGAAGTATGATGTTTGCCCCTTCATGGTGCATGATGCATGATATGTGAAAGCATATTTCACACATGAAGATTTTTGAAGTTGATGGTAATTTGTCTCTTCTCTTCTTGTTTGACTTTATATTGTACCTGATGATTTAGTCTCAGATATAACAAATACACACTTAAGGACAGAATAATTTTAATTGCGGTCACATGTATATCTACCCACATCTTCACCTTTGCATTTCTTTGGCATGAAAGGTTTTCATTACAAGTTAAGCGGAAGTAAAGCTTGTAAAAGCCGGCTATAAGCAGAATATTGTGAAAAACATAAAGCCCCTTTCCTCTTTCACAGCAACAAAATAGAGGCTACAATCTTACTTTCACATGTACGAATCATCCTCCATGATGCAGAAATGAGTCCAGTTTTTAAATCACAAGGACAAGTGATAAAACAAAAAATATTTTTATCTTTAACCTTAAATTAGGTCACGTTTATTTCATTTATTATCTTTTAGATTTTAGTATTTGAAACATTTTCTTTAATGTAATCTGGATCTCCTTATTCTAGAATTAACCAACAGAAGAGATGACCTTGAAATAAATCCAACATTAACAATATTAGCATTGTGATCAAAGTGGCCCCAGTGGTTGGAGGCCCTTTCTTTTATTACAGTTTTGATAGTTTTATCTCAGGTTCCAACCTCCCCGGATGGCTGCCAGCCACAGCACCCAGTGTCATTTAGGATCAACACACAGTGCTGGTGTAAAAATTCTATTTAAGTTTTAAACGTTTCATGAATCTAGTTGGCTAAATGAGCATTTTGTTTATGCTTGGGAAAAGGCAGACGATTTGTTGAGTAATTTGACAGCTAGGCTCTGCCTCAGTATCGAATTGAATGGAATTGAATTGAGCCATAGAGACAGCACACATTCCTGTGTCCATGTTCAACAGATGGGTTATAAGTGGAACGATAGATTATACAATTCTAAGAGTAAACTACATACTTAAAATGATAGTGCTATTCGTGCATTAACAGGAAATATTACATTTTTGAAGTTTTTTTCAAATTATATATAATTAGTTTGATATCTTAATTACTATACGTGTCAAGGTTATGAAATAAAAAAGTGTAATTTAATTAAACTTTTAACACCTTAACATCTGTAGTTAAATAAAATCATTTTGAAGCTAATATGAGATTGCATTTTGTAGTATTTTCTACTGCGCTGCACTGGTGGCAGAAACAAAGATGCTTCTTAAAGTAATCATTTCAGAAGGAAATGTTCATCTGAATTTATCCCAATAATCCTATTCAGTAAGCGCTCACATCAAATACAATTAGCAGTATCTTTTCATTTGTTTCTATTTCAGTTTTCTCTGTATCAGGAAATATAATACTGTGTGGTGTCACAAAACGATTTGCTTTTTTTTATCTTTGTATCACTCGTTCACACTCGGCTCCCCTCATCCTCTCCTTCCACCCCTACTTAAGAGCTTAAAAGGCCTACAAGAGACATTAAAAGATTTAATGAATCCAGGCAAACACTTTAGAAAAAAATCAAGTGAAATTGATAAAACCAAGAATGATAGCGTTATGTATGAGTTACTTGTCCTAGTGAAACTAATACCACATAATGTTGAGAGTAGCAGTAGCTGATAGTCAAGCCTCTTGTTCATCTTAATAAACATCAGAGTTCGGTTAATGTAAAATGTGAAAATGATGAAATACTGTATTGTTCACTCAAACTCCACCTTCTGTTTTTGGACTTGAGAGCTTTCTCTTGAAAATGTGTTGCAGTGTTTCTTGCTGAACGATGACACACATCTGTGGCTTTCTCTGGCAGGGAACCTTTGGACCCGTATTTCTCGGGGATGTTTCATCGCACTGGTGGATGCATGACAGGAGTGAAAAAGGAGAAAGGAGATTCATTGGCTGCATCAGCGGACTTCAGATCAACGGAAAGGAGATTGACTTGGTGGGTGAGGCGGTGAGAGGGAGAAACATCCAGAACTGCGACCCGCCCGTCTGCCAACATCTACCTTGCCGTAACGGTGGAACATGTGTCAGGTACAAAGTTTTAACATTAAAGAGAGACAAAAAATTACATTTAAGACTGTTTTGAGTTAAGCTTCCTAAAGTCTAAATACAAACACTGTACAAAATGATCTGAATATATCAGTTCTTCTTTAAAAAACGTGTGGGATTTTTGCGGCGCGCTTTGGGTCATTATCATGCTTAAATTATGTTTCCTGTGTCTCAGCTTCTGGCGAGTCATCTTCTCAGTCAGTGTTTTGGTATATCCACAGGCACTCATGTTGCTGTCTATAAATCTTATTTTTCTCACCCCATTTGCTCTCATGCAGCACCATACCACACTTTTATGCTTCACTCCCTGGACTGTGTGTTCAGTGACGTCGACTTTTTCAGAATCAGGCAAAGTGTGCTTGACCCCATCAGAGCCAAACAAATTTAACTTGGTCTCATCTGACAGCACAATGGGCTTTCATTATTCATCAGTGTTCCTTTAACACATTTAAGTGTAATTCAGCAGTTTTGTGATGAATATAAAAGCAAGCATATTCTGTCACGCACATCATCCTAACAGGTTATAAAGTGTCCTTCACGCTGTTTTTGCCTTTTGGTCATCTAATATTTGCAGTCCAAGACTGTGTTATTGGCTCACTCTCTGTAGTGTCATTTTAATGGGCCTGTCACTGACTTGTGGCATATACGTTTTTTTTCTAAACCCCCGAATTACCACTACTACCGGATTTTGATTGAATTCTATCAAGTTATGCATCTCTTTTTATGCTGAGTTTCAGAAGCTATGATGCTGGAATGCAAATTCACGACGGCTAATTTCTGTCTCAGGAGCGATAATATAAATGCAGTTTTCCAGCATTCCATTTTTGATGAACACATAGACACACATTGCATTTATGAGAGGAGACAGAGAACCTAATCAGTGGACTTTTAGACCATATTGTACAAGAGTTGTAGTCACTCCTGTGGTACCTTGTTTAAGTGCTATCACAAAGGCTCAAGGGGAAAGGAAAGATGGAACATCTCTGTGAGACTCATTGAATCAGTCATCCTTCCACCCATCCATCCTCCATCCCTCTCCTGTTCTCCTGTATAGCATCTCGTGGCATGTCGTGGATGCTATACAGGTCAGATTTGTGGCTTAACCGAAATGTTATGAACAGAAATATCACAGTGTGAAGGTTTCCTCTGAAATGGTTTAAAACAACAGTCCAGTACAACAAGTTTCTCTATCTCGAAAATGTCATTTCTAACACATACAGGAAAATATCTGAATGGTGCTTAACACAAACTTTAACATCACATCCTTTCAGTTGTATTGATAGCCTTTGAAATGAAAACCCAGTGGTGTCATTTCCAGAGGAGTTTTTTCTGTTTTACAAAATAATGCACTGCTTCTATTGTTCAGAAGCGCTGGAGAAAAATATGTGAAGTCCATTCTTACATCAAACTAATCTCCAGCAGTGCAGCTCATCAGGCTGCCACCACTCTGCACTTTGCAGCAATTTCACCAGTCTTTTTAAGTATGCATTAACTACACGTGATGCTCTTTCACCTTTGGTAATCTAGGAAATAGCCACTCTAAATGTGTTCTTCATTGTGTTATGACACTATCAATTAACAATTGCATTTATTAAACAGGAAATGAGAAAGGGCACCATGAATATTGGAATATGAATAGCTCTAAGAATACCAATTAAAAGCCAGTGGTCACATCGGCTTGTCATGTGCGACAGTGTGAGGCAGGCAATTATCTGTGTGATGAATATGGGTTATTGCAGTATCCTTTTGAACCACACATCAACGTGGGGTCATCGGGAGTTCATGGAGCTCTGCTCATTGTATTAGTTGCCCTGGAAAGTACTACCGCTCAATAATAGGATAAATGAGAATTTTTGTATCTGCTTCAGTCTGGGGGATTTTAGTGCTGTCCCTTTTTGATGTAGTTCTCTGTTCATTTAGGCATGTGGAAATATCAATATTGAAAACAATGTGGAAAATAGCTTCTGGTGGCTGGCTGAGGTGTACATATTATATATTCATATGATTTTGGGTATGAAAAGCCAGGCAATCGGCACCTTAAGACTGAGGCCTTTTTATTCCAGTTGAGAGGTTGATATCTGTGACATTTATGAACATCAGCTGCAGGTTACATAGACAGATGTCAGTAGACTGCTTGTAGATATGGTAGGTGCAAATAGTTTTCTAGAAGCCCACATACCACATATATGCTGTGCAATATTGCCACCACCAAACAAGAAGACTTTAAAAAAAAAAATTGAGATTTTATTGGAGTAATTCATTAGAGAAAATGTGAGCACTTATGGAAATCTATTCATGTGCTATAATTTGTGTATTACATGATTAAAAATGGATACAAAATCACAATCCATGTAATCCACATCCAGATGTGTTGATGATCAGCATGGTGCATGTGACGTGCACCTGGATTCTTTGCTCCCTGACTGAGAGTGTCTTGCTGAGGTGCTAATGCTAATGGCATCCCCATGTGCCTGTGTCTGAGTATGCAGTTTGACTTTTGTGGAAGCAGGTGGCGGCCCCCTGCAGCGTGTCTGTGTTTAGGAAGCACAAACTCCAAATTGAGTCTTTTATCACCCATCAAGATGCAGTTAATTCTTATGTGGCTTTGGTGTTGATCTATTTAGCTCCATCAGACATTGCCATATGCACCAAATTACGTTGCAAGCTTAATTTTTGTTTTGTTCACATTAAACACATGACATGTAAAATGTTAATTAGTGAGTCGCTTTACATAGAATAGATAGCCTCTCCAAGGCTGTGCTAACTGGCTGGAGATTGCAATTTATCTTCATCAAAAACTTATCAAATGAGCAACGGGTAAAATAAAAGTTGCCTACATTTTGAATGGGGTTAATCATCTTGAGGATTGAAGAAAAAACATTTCTTGAATACACTGGAATGTTGACAGTAACCGCTTAATGAGATAACAATTCTCTCCGAGTCTACTACTCTGGAACACCATAGACTTATTTTTGAGCCTTAGATATTGATCACTGCGACGTTTGTGTTTTCATTGGAATGCATGTGTGACATTAAAGAAAACAGACATGTCAGTAGATTTATTCATGTTCATGAAAGTTGAGCAGCACTTATAATATTGTATATTCGCCCCCAGATCAAAATTCATGTTGATTTTTTTCATTCTTATTGCTAATTGGTTGCAGTAGACACCGCTCTCCGCTCGCCCACCTAACAAAATGTTGTGTATGCTTAGCTGCCATTCCCTGTTGGTGTTCTGAAAAAAGGAATTGCACTCCAGTTTTTTCATTTAGAGTTCCAGATATGTTTGTTTTAAAGAAACCATTAACTGACTCAAGGTTTAGGAAACAATTAGTTTAATTCATGTTGAGAACCAAACAGCACTGTTTGTGACTGCAGCCCCTAGAAACTATTTCCTCGGAAAACTTGCTCATTGTGTGTTCTGAAGGACAAATACATTTTGTTTGAGTAACAAATTAATTCTTATTTCCATATATTTTAAACATGTAGACCTTTGCTTATTTAATTTGTGTATGTATTTGTATGTGTAACTTTTAGAAGTTATTCATTTCAAAGCTGAGGAACAAGACATGAACAGACTTACTAACTGAACACCTAAATCTAAATTAAATAGAGGAGAATTCATTATTACACTGTTGTCATTTTCTGTGGGTGTATTAAATCTTAACCACATGCTTAGCTATGTTGACACTTCTGTTTTGTTTTTTGTTTTTCTTAATAGATACAAAAATGAATGTGAGTGTGTGTGATTGTGTGTCTTTGTGTGGCCCTGCCATGGACTTGTGGACCGTCGGGAGACTGCCTGTTGCCAGTCTCCCGCTACCCTAATGGGAATAACCGGTGCAGAAAAACGATAGATGAATGGAGGGCTGGATGGATGGTTGCAAAAATAAATAAGTAGATTATTGTATTTATATAGCACTTTTCATTTATGGTGGTAGTCACCCTTTCACTCCCACACATGCACCTGTATCTGCAGCTCGTCTACACGGTGTTAATGATTTTTTTTTCTCCATCACACAGTTCTATACACCACTGTTGTATCTACACAATGGATGCTAAAAGTGGTCTATGGGAGCATAGAATGCCCTTGGAGAAGATAGATAGATGAGAATTTCACAGCATTTAACCGTATTTGGATTCTGCAGTAATCAACATGAAATTTGTTTAATAATTACCATAAATGTGTTTGACTTAAATAACATACTTTTGATCTTGCTAAAAATACTAATGTTCTTGAAAATATTGTACCCCCAAAACTTCACAACAATTGGTATGATATATATTTTTTTACTTTTGTTGCATCTGCAGTTGCAAATTGATAAAAATGGGATCTTTTTGTCATTGTTAAATGTGTCTGACTGAACAATATGCCTACCTCATTTACTTAAATTTAGCAATTTAGCAAAAAAAAGGGCTAAGCAAACAAACTGCTTGTGAAAGAAGGTTATAACAAGAGCAGATAGTGCTTTTCTTGAGGACTGTCATCAGCTTTGGATAAATTCGGTGCTCCGGTGGGGCTTAGAGCCACAGCACAGTGCCCTGCGACAGGAATACACTCCACAGAATCTGCCATAACAGAGGGACACGCCACTCTGTACTACGATGTGCCTAACTGATATGTGTTGTGACAACACACATCTCAGAAGAATAGATATGCAAGGCCATAAGATTGTTTGTAGTCTATGTTTAATTTTGGAATTGAGAGGCAATTTAAAAAACGATGTAGTCTTCTATCTGAAGACTCAGTCTAAGCAGAATAACAACGCAGTGGTCAAAGGGTAACAAGGGTTTCAAGGTCTGGGAATAGTGAGCCTCTCTGATCAGCTGTAAAAGTTGTTTGTTCGCCCAGTTTGGCCTGCAGGAGTTTCTGAAAGCTCATGTAACACGTTGCTGCCACGGAGGAAATAATGTCTAAACTGCAAAAAAGAGAAATCCACCAAATAGCCAAGAGTTACGGCTGTCACGGCTGATTTTCTCCA